AGCCGGCGATGATGATTTTATCTATAACACGTGTGCAAGCTCCCGGATATGCATTTTTTTGCCTCAAATGGCGGCATGAAATGTTACTCTGAACTACTCAAAATTACTCAATCCCGTCTCATAATGCGAATTGTGAAAGGGTTTTTTTCACTTATGTCTTCGCAATGGACGAAATAGAGAAATCGATTATCCGCGCCGTATCGTCACAGTGAAGTTCAACTTTTCTGATTTCAGATGTTTTTCATTCCATAATTTTTTGAAACAACGTGAAAATTTGGCTCTTCTGAGAAATATGCGTGATTCAGAAAAATACAGTTTTAAGAATAATACGCGCAAAGAAGTAAATGCTTAAATTATCATTCACAAATGTAAAATACATTAAAAAATTTAAAATAATGACAATTCTAATTTCTCCCATAATTGCATTTCTCAATTTTCATTACTGCTATGAATGTTTCTGGACATATTTTTTAATTTTTTTTTTGGCATGAGGCAATTCGGTGGAAATTTAAGGTAAGATCTAAATTTTAATGACATTTGGCGGAGGAGTGGGGGGGAGGGTTGCAGAAAACTTGCGTCCTGGATTTTCGTTAAGACAAGTTGGTAAGCCTAGTTGTATGGAAATGAATTTTACGCCGCCGCCCGAAAAATGGCGAAAGCAGTGACAATGTATAATTTCTTCGCAGTTTCTGCTAATTAAGATCTGCTTTATTTGAAATTTGGAAGCACTATACATAGCATAACTTTGTTATCGACTACTCGATCAGCCGTTTATTTAGTGTGCTGATTTTGCTATTAGTAGAGGAGACCGTGGGAGATCGACCTTCACCGATCTGATAACTCGATGAGACATATGTTTTATCAAATATAATTCAAAAACAAATATGCCTATGATAACTTGCCTATCGAAAAGTGTTCATAGCTATTTTTAATTTAATTAATTTTAATCCATTTTTTTCATCACCTTCACTCTTGTGACACCGAATGAGTTTTATCTCAATTGATAGTTTTTAACACAAAGAATATGCCTAGGTAGGCTTGCTACTTATTTCTGTGCATAGCTACTTGGCAAGTAAATGTGAACAGGTAAGTAAATATAGGTAACTACATCGATCTGTTAACCAATCGAAATTGATATCATAGGTAAGATATCTTAATTATAAAACCAATCATATAGGCTTGCCTGCAAAAAATCGTACATAAAATATTATTGCCAAGCTATAAAGTTGTATAGCCAATTTCACCAGATTCACTTAAGTGAAAATTACTTTGATTTTCAAATTTTTGGTTTCACCAATCCATTTTAATTTGTTTTTAATTTTGATTTAAGTGACCTATGCTCTTCACTTAAATAAAAATTAAATCAGAATAACTTGCACGCTACCTGTCCGTTGAGTTTATCCGAGTGCGTGTCGTGTATAGTCGAAAATAATTTATTAGTGACAACACGTGGTAAATAATATTAATTGTGATTTTAAAAATGAGTAAAAAGTGTTTTTTGTGTGGTACGAAAAAAGAAATGATTAACTTTGACGAAAATTCATTTAAAAGGTGCCATTTAAAATTGGCTTTCCGGAAAAAACAAAAGTTTAAGTATGGAGATATTCAATTAAGCAAAGAATCGTTGGATCTTATTGGTTATCACTCCACGTGTTACAACAAAGTAACAGTTTTAAAACAAAAATACAAAAAAGAATTTGAAAATTTCGTAATAAATAATTAATATGAAGAAGTAAAAGTTTTTGTTTATACTTATTAAATATTTACAATTAGCTATTTTTTCATATCGATTTTTGTTTTAAAAGATAAGCCGTACATTCAATTTCATATATGTATGTTGCTCTTGTAAACGTAGACTTTTTTATTAAAAGTTTTCTGAATATTTTAAAATTTAGTGAATTTATAGAATTTTTGTTTAGCTGATTTTTGTGAAATTTATGTCCATTAATTGACAAATTTAATATAAATAAACATTTTAACAATGAGAAAATTTCCTTAAATCATGTGAATTGATTTAATAACATTTGGGGTATTCACAAATAATGAAGAATTCTTTCCCCTGCTGTTATCAGGTTATCTGGTTATGTGGTTATATTTTTAACTCAGTTTACAAAAACAAAATACACTACAGACTAATAATTTTTAACTAGATAACCTGATAACCAGGCAGGTGTGAATACCCCAATTGAAATTTTCATTCTCATTATATAACTATTTTTACTTAGTTTTTGTAGCTCCCAACGACCTCAAGAAGTCTTAATTCTAGTGATAATGAACCTCCATGAGACAACAGCTCTTGAAGATGACGAAAATAATCAGAAAATATTGCAAATTCTGAAGATTTGAACGAGGTAATCATTTATTATTTGCTACTGAATCATTTAAATATTTTTGAAGAACAGTATTAGATAGATCTTATAATATAAATTTCTCTATCTATGTTATATATTTTACTCTTGCTGCATGTATAATTTTTTTTTTTCAATTGATAATAAATTTCTTTTTTCATTCTTGAAAATCTTATAATCGTAAACTATAAACTTAAAAGTTTTCTACTCATTTCAGATGCCGTCAACTTCAACATCATCTACATCTGCTGGCCAAGTTGTCTGTTGTATATTTTGCAACCAGATTCAGAAAAAATCAGGAAAGCGAGTCCTCAATCTAATAATTTCCTCGAGTAATGAGCTGTGTGAAAGAATGAAAAATGTAGCAGAAAGCTTGGGTGATCGTGAGTTTCTTTTAAAGCTGAAGAATCTTCCGATAGCTTATATAAACCCTGTTATGCTTCTTTTCTAACGAAAGAAAAACGAAATGATGATCATCATTCAGATTCCAGTTGGCATACTTATCGAAACCTGCATAAACAAGCTTTTGAATGTATTGCCGATTTTATTTCAAATGAAATAATTGAAAATAATCGAGTAATGTACTTCTCTCAATTAGTTTTAAGATATCAAGCTCTATTATTAGAATTTGGAAAAAATACAATCGATCTCGTTGATATTGAGGATTACCGATCTGAAATGCTGGGAAAAAAAATCTTAACAAATTTGGTGATACTTTAATAATGGAAGCATCGAAAGGTCCACGTAATAAAAAAATTATATATAAGGCAGACATCGACGTTTCAGTTATGGCTAATAATGCAGCATTTCTGGAGAAGAAAAACGAAGAGAAATTCGATGATGTTTCATTTCACTTAAGAACTGTATAAAAAAAATTAATTGAAACCATTGCCTAAACGCCTCACAGCAGAAGACGTCATCCGCGGGGAATTGAAATCCCACCATTATTATTTGATTTTATGTGTAATCTTATTAAAGGTCCTCACTTTTCCGAGAAAAACTCAACCCAGGCTACAACACAAGTTATATCAATTTGCAGTGATATAATTTACGCAGTCACTAAGGGCGCATGTAAACCAGCAAAAAATTTAACACTTGGTTTAGCATTAAAGCAATAAAAATTCTCGTCAAGTTATTACGATGCTTAATAAACATAATAACATTAGCAAAAGCATTGAAGTTAAACGTCGAAATTTCGGAGCCAACACAGACTGATGTGGAAATAATCGATGGATTTTACTATTTGTACTTAATTGGAGCCTCAATGCCACAAACTTTTGAAAAAATTGCTGATCGATACTTATAAAAATTTGTTCGACGAAAGCCGCACAGGTGCATTTAGTTTTTGATCGTTATATGTCGCCATCAATAAAAGATACAGAAGTCAAAATCGTCAAGAGATTGACGTTCCATTTAATATTTCTGGACCTCAACAAAAGCATCAGATTTTTTACGCAGTTTAAAAAATTACCGATTCAAAGAAGCCTTGGTTCAGTTTTTATCTGTCTATTGGGAAATGATAATTTAGTTACAATTATTAAAAAAAAAAATTTTTAACTGTTCAGAATCGTTGTTACTCTTATGAAGCGCATCAAAATCGAATGAAAAAAATGAAGAAGTTAAATATATGTGTGGTCATGAAGAGGCGGATACTAGGATCATTTTTCATGCATCCAGAGTAACATCGGGATCAAAGATTTTAATTAAATCTTCCGAACCGACGTAATGATTATTTTGCTTGGAAACATACATAAATTGGAACAATCAGAAGTTTGGATAGCAAGTTCAACAAATAAAAAAAAAAATTCAAAAGCCTCGATTGCATTAATTGCACGGAATTGGCAAAAAAATTAGGAACCACACTATGCCGAAGCCTACCAGCTTTCCATGCGTATACTGGTTGTGATTACACAGCGGCATTTTATCAGAAAGGTAAAGTTCGGCCATTAAAACTGTTCTCCAAAAATGAATCATACCAAAACATATTTGCGTCATTACTAGATGAAGCTGATATTTTCATCAATGAAAAAAATCAGGCCGTTCAGGAGTTTACCTCTCATATGTATGGTATAAAAAATTGCACTAGTCTCATTTTTATGAAAAGTTATTCCGCAAAAGAAGATAATGAGCACTTTTTGAAAAAAGTAAATAGTTATGACTCCAACAATTTGCCACCATGCTGGTCTTCTTTAACCCAAAAAATGTTACGAACGATTTATGTCAATTCTATGTGGCTTCATGCGACTGATCAAGATTGCTTAAAATTGCGCCCTGAAAACTGTGGTTGGCTCTTAGAAGATGATAATTTGAAACCAATTGGATTTCTTGGGGACCAAACACCCTTGAAAATTAATGACATCGCACAAATCATGGATAATGGAGATGAAGAAGAATTATTAGAATCTGATGTTCAGTATTCAGCTTCCGATGATTCCGATATTGAATAATAAAAATTATAATGAATATTTGAATTGAATTTTTTTTATGTATTTTGTGTGCTTTGTAATAAACGCTTTTAACAACATAAATCT